CATTGGGTTCCAAATAAATTGTCTCACTTCAAAATTAAGATGAAACAACCCAAGGATGATTGTAATAACTAATAATGAATTTCTATTTTCATCAGATAATTGACCTGGTGAAGTAGAGGTTGCAATTGCAAAGCATAATAAAAATGCTGTATAAATGATCCATATCCCTAAATAATATTTGAATCCAAAATTACTCCACTTGAAATTCAAGATTACTTGTCCATTCCAATGTTTATATAATTCTAAAGTATCTAATTCAATAAATTTACTATTTGCTGGCTTATAAAACAATTCTTTCCAAAATGAATATTCATTGTTGTAAGTAAGTAACCCAGGATATGGAATTGCTAATACTATACATGGTTTTGAAGATTTGTTATTTAATTTTTCATTTATAAATTTTATAAATTTCCCAACATAATTATATTTATAATAAAAATCCCAAAAACTATTATAAACTGATCCTTTAATATCCATAGCATTATAAAAAGTATTCCAATTGTAAGATCTTCTCTCAAATGGAAATAATATCATTGAAGTCTGACTAAAGAATTTTGATATTAAAGTATAATGATTTTTTTCTAGTATTGGTAATTTTAATATAATTATTTTTAATAAACTAATATTTAAATCAGTATCTTTTATAAAATGACCAAGACAAATATCAAATACTTTTTCAACTAGAATACTATTATTACTATCTAATACTATCTTTAATATTTCCTTTCCAAATTTGTTGAAATAATAAAACTCATTGAGCATACTATCAAACATTTCTTTAAAAGGTTGTCTAGAAATTTGATGTTTATCAATATATGAATAACCAATAGCTTTAATAATATATTTGAAATCAAATAAATAATCTTCAATGTTGTTATTCTCAATAGCTTCTTTAACCATACTTATTATGTAAAAATATTTAACAAATTTTGTAAATATTTTGGAATTTTTGTTGCTAATTGATAAAATATGTATACAACTACTTGTTAAAAAAATTAAATCATCATTATTAAATAATTTACAATACTCAAATTTTTCATTACTATTAAGACCATATTCATCAATTGTTGATAATTCTTCTTCCATTCCATCATTAATTTTTTGTGCTTTTATATTAATATTTTTAAATGCATTATCATATTCTATTGACCATTTAATTGATTTTCCAGTTTCTATGGTAAATTCTGCTGGTTCTTAGGCATTTCAAATATTCCTTGTGTTGTTTGCATTACATGTAAATAATAATTGTTTTTTAAAGGTATTTTTTGTTGAATATTATCTAAATTTTCATTGTTAATTATTTTTTTAATGTATAATTGATTGCCTGTAACTTTGGCTATTTTACCATGTGGTAAAATTAGTCTAAATAAAATATCTTCATTTTCATTTGTAAAATACCCTGTAATATCCATAAAATCACCAAGATTATAAGGATCCATTAATTTATAATTATAACTTTTTGTGTTGCTATGATAATATATTACTAATAAATATTCTAATTGATCTGTTGGATAAATAAAATCATATTTTTCCATATTAATATTATTTTCCAATTGGGCTACAAAATAAAAATATATCTATTAAGTTTATAAATTAATATAACATGCAAAGAATATATAAATACTTACTTGCAGAAATAATAATATTATTTTTTAATGAATATACAACCAATATTGAATGAATTTCATAATATACTGCCATTATTGTTTTATCTTTATTAAATATAACACCAGTGTATTGTTGATATACTAAATAATAATTATCTTGATATGACATTGTTAAACCATTCCATTGTGATATAAATGAACCATAAAAACCAATTAGAAAATTTCTAGAATTTCCAAAAAAATTAATAATACAATAATTGTAACAATATGTTGATTTATGAACCAATTTATCATTTGCACCATTGTCATCATCACTCACATATGAAAAATTGTATAAATTATAGATATCACCATCATCCTTAATCATTAATAAACAATTATTTGTAATAAAACTCCCATCACAAAATTCTCCATGGTATATTTTACCATTAATTATAAAGTCAACATATTTTTTTTTTGTAAAGTCAAGAAATTCTAAAAGTTAATTTAAATGATTTAAATATTTTATTATTTAGTTGTTTTAATAATAAAATACATATATCAATTAATTAATAATTGCTTACTATAATAATTAAAAACTTTAACATATAAAATTATATATTTGTCATCAGAAACATCTTTTATAAAAACATTTCCATTTACAAAATCATCTTTAGAATATTTAAAGTAATAATCTTTATCTGGTTGGATAGTTCCATCATCAAGATCAACTGTCCATCCAACAATAGATGAATCATTTTTACTATGAGTTACTAAAAACTTTAAATTTGGACTATACTTTATTTCAAAAATATCACATCCATTATGTGGATTATTTTGTTGTTGAATAGCATCATCATTTGTATCATTTGTGTTTAAGTTAGAATTATGATTATCTTCTTCTATAATTGATATTTTATCATTTTCTGTATTCAATACTGTTATTACTTCTATAATGTCAATATTCTTTTCATCATTTGAGTTAAAGTTATTATTTTTTTCCATTTTTTTATAATAACTTTTTCAATGTCTATGAAAAAATTTGTAAAGGATAAATGTTTTTTTTAAAAAAAAAAAAAATTCGATAAAAGAAAGATTTCGTATGTTTATAATAATGGTGTACAATTTATAAATAGATGAAAAAAACCATATCTGAATTCGGTTCTAGATTTTTAAAAATCATGGCGTACATCTACCTGCATGTTGATATGAAAAAAGTATTATCCGAATTCATTCGTTCTATGATTGATTAGAGCATCTTTATATAGAAAAAGTATATCCAGATTCGTTCATTCTACGATTTGATTAGAGCACCTTTGTATACCTGTTTTATAACAAATATACACCAATTTCAGTAATGATTTTTTACGTTGATTCGTTGATTTAGTATTAGAGTTTCTATTCTAATCCGTAATAATAATAGATGAAAAAAAGCATACCGAATTCGTTCATTGTTTAGAGCACCTTTTATATAGTAACTTGTACTTTTTTTTATAACAAATATATATATTGAAAACTTCTAATGAAAAATTCAATTTTAAATTTTAAAAGTTTTCAAAGCCAAGTTGATGAATACAAAAAGTGATTTTGTGGGGATGACCAAGAAAAGGTTTCAGATCGATAATGTCATACAGACTGTAGATGGTTGTAATATGTATGTTTTAATAGCAATATTAACAACCAAAGCTATTTGAGATTTAATTTTCTCTCATTTGCTTTTTAGTTAATAATAATACAATTGGTCAAGGTTTTTTATGACAACGGCAATAACAGTGCGAGCATGCGATCCGAGTTTAGTTGATTAATATTAATGTGATTCACTTATACTGGTAACCCACTAGCTCTTCTAGTGACTCTAATTATGTTGGTTCAGACTCCCGGATTATATTTGACCGGACTATTAATCATCAGAAAGGATCGTGAAACAATTCGCAAGCGTCCCTCCTCTTTAACTATTTAAAAATTCGTAATAAGGTAAAATGTGTTTATTTAATCAAAGGTTAATTAATCAATTAGTTATATTACTATTATTTATTAATTCAAAGATTATTCTTTAACTCAAATACTTTTGTCTAGAGAATGTATATGTGAATTTAGAAACATTTGAATTGATTCCATCACTATATACAGCTCTTCACTTGGAATGTTTTTGAATTGGAAATCATACTCAATTGCATAGTAAGATTTGAGTTGAAATGAGATCTTATTTTCAATTAGATTATGTATGGATGGTCCTTTCCTATTGAAAAGCCTCCATGTGTGAGTTGCAAATTCACGTTTGATTAATTTCTTTGAAGAAAAAAACTTTATACATCCTTAAAAAGCCGAGTAATAGGTTGTAAATGGATGATGATGATATCTGAGGAGAGTTTAACCTTGATATCCAGTACGTGAAATAAAGACGATATGAGTAATTGAACCTTTAATTCGTGGTCCGCCGATCAATGATAGAAACTCTAATACTAATAAAAACCGATCGACATATATAAATTTAAAAAAAAATGCACCTAATTCGGAAAATGTCCGAATTAGGTGAAAAAATGTTATCAAGTGACAAAAGTTGCGTGCTATGAAATTTTGTACTTTCATTATGCAAAGTCAGTCACATAAAATCATGCAGGTCTGTAGATAGGAACTTGGTTTTTTCAAAAATGTAAAAAATTTCTCTTTTCTTATATTAAAATAAATAGTTTACTCTTGGGCAGCTGTGGATTCCACGTAAAATACATAAATGAATTTTATGAAAAAAATAATAGTATAGCATTGCAACATTACAAAAAAAAAGTAACTAGTTTTAATGGTAATTCTCGACTATTTTTATGAATAAATAATAATAATGAATTTTAATTTCAAAAAAAACTTATTACGAATTATTCATATTAATTCAGTCTTGCATGCTGCAGAATAATGATAACAAGTTATCCAACTTTGTATAACGTTCATTAGAAAATTTTGTTCCACCTCCATCCTTTTTCAAATTGTCTATAAAAATTATTTATTAACAAAATTATTCTGAAATAAGTTTTTTTTTTATTAGCTAATAAGGAAAAATAAACACAATGGCTGATGTATCCGATGGCTGACAGAAGGTCAATATGCTAGATCTTTACTTAACGTGGGTAAAAAGCAACAGCAACTAAACCTCATACTTTTACTATTTAGGTAAAATTGTTTTCCGATGCAAATTAGCAATATAATGTAAATCAAAAATCTATAATGGTCATTATTAAAAAATTTATTATTATATTTCCAAAAATCTGAAAAACGGGTGTTTTTTTTAATTTAATACCAATACTAAAAGAATTTTTAATTTGAAGTATATTTTTAAAAAAAAATAATGAGCAATAAAAGTCGACGACATTTCATAGTCACAGATTTTAATATATGGTTGACATGGCACGTTTTCTGTACAATGGACTTTGGCGAATTAATTGAACGTAAACTCATTATTAAACAATTTTCGTGCCTCTAAGTAAAAACAATCACTTGCTTCTGACATTTAAACGCGAGCTTTATCCATCTGTAGCTCTCCCAATTATGAAGTAAAAGAAATCTATGGTTTTTGACTTCGGAAGCTTATTTCTTTTCGGAAATCAGCTCTATTGAGATCATTTTAGCATGATAAGATAGAGCACATCGAGAGCTTTCAGAAAATATATGGTTTGTATGGGTTTCTTGGGGAAGGAAGAAATTAAAAGCAAAAAACGGTTTTATAAGTTATTTATTATTATAAAAACTTTTCAACGATTTTTTTTTTCACATTATTGTTTTCTAACTTTTGTTATATTATTATATTAATAATGATAGCATAGTGGAATTTCGTAATTATCACGAATATGTAATGGCAATTTAAAGTACTTTTTTCAATTGGACGTTTGACCTTAATGTGATGTAAAAACTTTTTATCAAAATTGTCAAACCAACTTTATAGCCGTATTTTTCATATTACCAATTTTCTTCGATCATTTTCCATAATATCCTGGAGGAGTTAGCTAAGAACCAAAGTTTATAAGAAAGCAATAGTTAAAGAATATATAGGGCGCAGAAAATAAAAACAGCCCTAACTGCAAAATCCATGAGATGGCTCCTCAATTAGTTGCAACTAATTGCGGCATATAAAAATTGAATTGTGGTTGCAGTTGTGGCATATGGAAATTGAATTGCGACTAATTGCGGTTCCAATCTTTAGTAATGTGATTACTATTATGATTCAACAATTTTATAATCTCCCATCTGCATCCAATTCAAGGATCAATAGGACTCTGGGATTATTATAATTGTGGTGGTAACATCCGACTTTGATAAAATTTTACATGAAAATTTGAATGATGGCTTTTAATAAGTGGTGTGACTATTTTTGGGCATAGCAGAAAATTTTTATAACCAAAATCAGGTAAAGCAATTTTTATGTCATATCTAAAATGGGTAAAGCAAAAAATTTTAAAATAGAAAAATAGGCAAGGGTTAAATTGTAATTGAAAGTTTAGTGTCCTTTTCCATTTAAGTAAATTTCTAAAGATGCTAATACTATTATTGACAAAAATTTATTATTATTTTCAGATTATTTATTATATGGGGTATATTGCAACAAAACCCAAGTGAACATTTGCAAACAGGAGAGAACGTCCTATATAAGGAATGGATTTTCACAATTGATTTCAATTTTTTTATACAGTTTAAAATACTTTTACAAGGGTATCATGTAGCCCATTCTTACAATAAATCATGTGCAAATAATT